GAAGTTTTTGCATTTTTTTCTCCCCTTAACCTCCCTTTACCTCCACTGTTATTCCAGACATTGTGAGGGTAATTCTTCTCAGTGGAAAAGAAATCTTCAGATTTGAACTTCCTCCTAAAATGAACAAGAGAGGGTTTGCCCCGATGCCCGATTACAGATATTACCCTCCGATTTAATCTTCTTTTGCTGAGTCGAGGAGATCCGACATAAAGTGGTTTTTTATTGCTTATTTTAAAAGGGAACTTGGTTGTGTCAGAAGAGGTCAACTCTTTTCATCCCTCCGAGGAATTATTATCTTTACGGCTCAAGCGGAAGGAATTGGGGCTGATCAAACTTAATTTGGAGGGGAGAGGCTTCTAAAATAACAAACAAAACAAAAAACTTTTAACAATTTGGGGCCTAAGCCCTTTGAAATCCTTAGTGAAATAAGTCCGTGATTTGGTTAAGTATATATAATTTAAGGACAAGTTAATTTGCAGAGCAAGTTTCCTAACTTTGGATGTTTGGAGCATTGTTGTTGTGGATCAGCCATTGGTGTAATTTCAGGTAATTTTAATGGCATTAGACTGGATTCGATTAGATCCAAAGGGAGAGGCATAAATGAGGTGAGACTGGAACGTCTGATAGCAAGGAGGCCTTTTCAAGAACACGGGGTCTGCTAAGAGGTGCCTGGGCTTCAGGAGAACAAGGCAAGGGCTCCTGGTTCCAGCTACCCACATTGCTGGCCTGGGGTTCCTGGTGCCTTCAGGATTCTGGGTGACTGCTGCAGACTGCTGTTGTCAGAGATGCTTGAACCAGAGCAACTCCATCTTGAATAGGGGATGGATAAGATGAGGCTGAGACCTACTGGGCTGCATCTTCATATGGCTGGGCATTCTAAGTCACAGGATGAGATGTGCAGTCGGCACAAAATACAGGTCATAAAGATCTTGCTGATTAAACAGGTTGCAGTAAAGAAGCTGGCCAAAACCCACTAAAACCAAGATGGCGACGAGAGTGACTTCTGGTCATCCTCACTGCTACACTCCCACCAGTACCATGACAGTTTACCAATGCCATGGCAACAGCAGGAAATTACCCTATATGGTCTAAAAAGGGGAGGCATGAATAATCCATTTCTTGTTTAGCATATAATCAAGAAATAACCATAAAAATGGGTAACCAGCAGCTCTCAGGGCTGCTCTGTCTATGGAGTAGTGGTTCTTTATTCCTTTACTTTCCTAATCAACTTACTTTCACTTTACAGTCTTGCCCTAAATTATTTCTTGCTTGAGATGCAAGAACCTTCTTCTGGGGTTTGGATCAGAACCCCTGGCCGGTAACACTGTGATAGAAAGTGTTAGAGGCAGAGGGCAGGGTTCAAATTCCTTATCTCCCCATCTACCCTGGGCAAGTGATCTGACCTCTCTGAGCCCATTACTTCATCTGAAAAGGGAGTGTTCGTACCATCGGCCTTGCAGGTTAACATAACAAAGGCTGGGCAGTGAGTTGTGTGAAGTGCTTGGGATAGGACTCAACACATAATAGGTGGGCGGATCCTGGGTGCAGATTTAGGCCTGATGAGTTTTAGGTACCTAGGGGATAGCACGACCTGGTCTGGAGTTTGTATCAGAGGTCCAGACTAGAGATACAGATTTTGGAGTCATTGGCCTAAACATGAAACGTGCAGGCATGGGAGTGCGCATGTGTGTTCCAGGAAGAGGCAGGGTGTGGGCAGGAGAGGAGGTGCCCATGTGGAAGGCGGAGAGAGAGCAGTTGGAGAAGAAGGGGGAGACTCAGGCCTCCAGGGAGCAAAACCAGTGGGCTTTTGCATGTCCTTTATGAAAAATGTAGAGTCAGAATTTATCACTCACAGGAGAGAGACTTGTTTTTATTATTACGTTAAAGAGGTTTTAAAGACGCGTATTGACATTCACTGATGCAAATTACAATGGCCATTCATCATTGGAGGCTTTACCCTGTAGGCTGTTCTTAACTCAGTAATTTTTTAAATTGCATTGATCTGTCTCTCACATCTCTAGTTTCCCTTGTGATGTATTACAGTTGCTGTATATCCTTGGAAGATGCTAGGGCCTGTAAAAGGCTGGTGAAGCAGTGCTCGTGTTTTCTCTACTTGGTTGCAATAAAGAAGGTGTACGCCCACGTGTGCTTGTCCCATCTGGATGTGACCTTTTGTTCAGTTGAGCTGACAATTGCAAGTCCAGATCTTTACTCATTCCTAACCCAAGTCCAGTTCCTCCCTGTCTGTAGGGGGGCCCGAGTGATCCTGGGCATAGCTGCACTGCTTGTATACCTGAATTCTTTCCATATCATTTTGGGTGGGAGATTCTGTTCTCAGCTCCATTTTGTAGACGAGGAAATGAATGACCAGAAAGATTGCATGACTTGTCTGACGGGTGAGTTTGTGCATTACATTGGGGTTCCTGAAATTGCCCACTTGTCAATCACTGGAGAAGCTTTGGTTGCTTTGGGGATTCGTGGGCCTCACTCAGGTTGTTAATGTAACCCACCCAGTGGCTGGTAAGATTTGGAAAGGACTGCCCCTCGCCACACCAGATCTTGGATGTGTTGGTGGAAAAATAACAATAATGAGTTCTTGATTGTTTAGATTGGGGGTTATCAAACTTTTTCTGTAAAGGGCCAGAAAAAATACTTTTAGCCTTGCAGGCTGCATGGTCTGTTTCAGCTTCTTAACTCTGCTGTACAGAAGCTCCTTGACTTATGATGGAGTTATGTCCGGATAAGCGCATTGTAAGTTGAAAATATCGTAAGTTGAAAATGCATTTAATACGCTTCACCTAGTGAACAACGTAGCTCAGCCTAGTCCACCTTCAGCCGCTTAGAACACTTAGATTCACCTATAGTTAGGCACAATCATCTAACACAAAGCCTACTTTATAATAAAGTGTTGAACAACTCATGTAAAATATACTGCACATCACTAGCCTAGAAAAAGGTCAAAATTTGAAGTGTGGTTTCTACTGAATGCTTATTGCTTTTTACCATTATAAACTGGAAAAATTGCAAGACAATTGCCATCCTAAGTGAGGGACTGTCTGTATTGCAAAAGCAGCCAAAACAAATGAATGTGGCTGCATTGGGCCCATGGGCCATAGTTTGCCCACCCTGATCTAGAAAATTAGTATTACGTATGATGACCAGAGAAGTGATTGAACTTGCCACTCTCCAAGGGATGTTTGGACTTTTATAAGAATATATCAGAGGCAGGTGTGGGCCATTCAAGATATATAAGGTGACAGCCAGGCATGATGGGTCACGCCTATAATCCCAGCATTTTGGGAGGCCAAGGCAGGCAGATCATCTGAGGCCAGGAGTTAAAGACCAGCCTGACCAACGTGGCGAAACCTCGTCTCTACTAAAAATACAAAAAATTAGCCAGGTGTGGTGGTGGGCACCTGTAATCCCAGCTACTCGGGAGGCTGAGGCAGGAGAATTGCTTGAACCTGAACAGATGGCTACAGGAAACAATGACTAAATCAGGCAAGTTATGGGAACAACATGCTGTATGCAATTTTCCCCAATATCAACAGAGATCCGCAGCTCAGTTAATAGCAGAGATGCATTTTCATCATGTTTCTGTCATGTGTGTATTGCAGCACTAACAGCAGAGGTTGCTGAGATCATGCCACTGCACTGTAGCCTGGGCAACAGAGTGAGACACTGTCTCATTTAAAAAAAAAAAAAAAAGATATATAGGATGAGAACTACATTCAGCTGCTCATACAAAGACCCCTCAAACATTACCTTGAACAAATTAGAGATGAATATTTCTTGTTTGTTGAAGAAGCCTTGAGTAACTGATCTGATTGTAGGTTTGGTGATGTGATGTCGACAATAATGGGATGACATTATTGCTCCTTAAGGTCATCAGAGACCCCGGGACTTCTGTAAACTTGACAGGCATTCTGTTTCTCCATCTCACTCCATCAGAAACATCTATCCATTCGTTAATTGAAACGTTGGGTGTGATTTGAGTCTCTAGTCCTTCCTCCTGTTCAGAGAATAATGTGAGACATTCTATGGTCGCCATACCAGAGTTCGAACACATAATGTCTGTGTTCGGAGTTGATGGGTGGCTTCACGTAGGAACAGAATTTATCACTCACATTAGAGATGCCTCTGTTCATGGTCATACAGGTTTTAAAGATGTGTATTGACATTCATGGAGTATAAATTACAATAGCCCTTTATCCCTGGGGACTTTTCTCTCTGGGCTGTTCTTAACTCATGTAATTTTAAAAAGTGGATTGATGTCTCTCCTCCTTCTCTATTTTTCCTTGTGATGAAGTCGCTACTTGCCCCTGGAAGGTGCTAAGGCCTGCAAAAAGCTGATGAAACAGCCCTCACATTTTGTGTCCCCAGAGTATTCTCTAAGGAGTCATAACTTGATTAAAATGAAGAAATTCTATGTCCCGGTTATGCTTATCCCATCAGGACATGGCCTTCTGTGTAGTGGGGCAGATTTCAGCTCTGGCCCCCTCCCTTCTTTCTGAAACTGAATTCCACCTCGTCTTTGTGGTGGTCGGAGTGGTCCCAGGCACCAGCGCTTTGCTCTACAAACCACCTTTGGAGTGAGGTGCTGCTTTCAGCTCTGTTTTACAGATGAGGAAACAAGTGGCCACAAAGGTTGACTAGCCTCTCACCGGCAAGCTGTTAGTGCTGCAATACACACATGACAGAAACATGAAAATGTATCTCTGCTATTAATTGGGCTGTGGATCTCTGTTGATATTGGGAAAATAGCATACAGTATGTTGTTCCCATAACTTGCCTGATTTAGTCATTCTTTCCTGTAGCCATCTGTTCAGCCGGCACCAATGAGTCCCTGCTCTATGCCAGGAACTGGGCATCCAGTGGTGTGTAACACAGATGTGACTCCTGCTGCAACTGGTTTTCTTGGGGAAAGCATTGCCGAAATCCTACTCCTTTATAATAAGGGTTTTAAAAGGAATTTACGTTTTCTGTCTCTTTCTTGACAGGTCTACATCCGGATAAAAGACGATGAATGGAACATCTATCGCCGGTATACAGAGTTCAGGAGTTTGCACCACAAGTTACAAAACAAGTACCCTCAAGTGAGGGCCTACAACTTCCCACCCAAAAAGGCCATCGGAAACAAGGTACCGTCCCACGCCGGGAAGCTCACTTGTCACTGCCTGCGTTAAAATGGATTATTTATTCTTCTTCTTTAGTCCGTTACTTAAAAACACATGCTCCTTAAAGAAAAGTTGGCGGATATAAGAAAAAAATGGAGAAAAGAAATAGCCACTCATAATTCCACCACCTAAAGACGGTCACCATTACGTCGTGTGTGTGTGTGTATGTCCTCTCATTTCTGTAGGGCAAGAAGTTGGAAAACATTTTCTTTAAAGGGCCAGAAAGTAAATATGTTTGGCTTTGGGGACTATACTATTTCAGAGGCAAATACTCACCTCTGCAGAGGTCCTGTGTAAGCCCCCATAGACAGTGCAGACACAAATGAGCATGGCTGAGTGCCAATAGCATTTTATTTTTAAGAATAGATAGCAGCTGGATTTGGCCTGTAGGTTAGTTTGCCAGCCCCTGTTCTGGACCGAAAAATGCTTTTCTAGTTTTCATCCATCGTGGTCATGATGTTCACTTCAACTTGTGACTGTGGAGTCGAACTTTCTCGGAGGAGTTTGTTGTTGTTGTTGTTGTTGTTATATGTTTATTTGCCTTGTGAAGGCTAATGATTTAAGATGACCCAGTTTGCCTCTGTGTATTCATCCCGGTACTCTTGAGGAAGGAGGTGCTAGCCCTCTGCAGGCTCGTTGGTTGATTAGTATTATTTACTCAGCAGTCATTAATTGGGCACCAATTGTGTGTCATTGTGCAAAGGGCTGGGTCCAGCCCTGGAGAAGACAGACCCATGTCTAGACCTGGCTTGGAGCCCTGTCAAATGGTCAGCTTCAGCCAGGAGGCATCATGATGTCACTCCTCATGTTTGCTTAGGGAAGCGGTTCTCTGTCATGGCTGCACTTTGGATCCCCTGGGGAGCTTTGAAAACCACTGAGGACTGCCTGTGGCCCACTTCCATCCCCATTCTGATTTATCTGAAGTGAGGCCTGGGCGTAGAGGGGTTGAATAGTTGTCTATTGAATAGTTGTCTAATAGATTGCACTCTGCGGCCAAACTGGAGAACCTTTGGCTTAGAGTCAAGAAGGAGACAGAGGCACATCATCAATTTCGGTATGTGTTCAACAGTTTGGCAGGGACCGTCCGGTTGGGAGGTAGAGCGATGACCTTTCTCAGGACGTGTAAGACATCGGGCGTTGTATTGAGCATGATCTATCTCTCTGCCATGGTCGTTCTCAAAGTGTGGCCCCAGCCAGCAGCAGCAGCAGCAGCAGCCCCTGGGAGCTGGTTAGAAATGCACGTTCTTGGGCTCACCCTAGACTTGCTGATTCACAAGCTCTGGGGCTGAGAGCCTGCAGTCTGGGTTGAACAAGCCCTCTAGGTGATGCTGTTCATGAGGAAGTATGAGGACTGCCCTTCTATCTTTTGACAAAGCCATGTGGCAGATGCCATATGGGGCGAATCCCTAGTTTCTGTCTTCAGGAGGTACCGTGCTAGGATTTCCTTGACCTTTATCCCAGAAACACAGAGCAAGAGTTTCCATAACCCACTCCTGGCGCTTGGGAATTTCATAGGGAAATCTGTTCCCGACCCTTACGTTTACATGTGTGTAGATTTCTACGTATAAAACAGATTGAAACCTGATCACGCCAAGGTCTGCTCGATTTGAACGTAAACAATTACAAAGCAAGTTTATCCCAGGCCCAGAATATATTTGTCCTTCATTTTTCTGTTGAGGAAAAGTAGAGCTGAACCGCTACACATGGCAGACAGAAACTCTATACTTGTTCGTAGCAAGGAGTATAAGAATTCTTTTGAAAAGAGGAGAAAATTATATATTGATTTAATCTAATGACCCGTAGGCTCATACAAACCTTGGGACTCATTCGGAATGTCCTAAAATGTCATAAAACAACATGCTGCTAACCAGCGTATTATCAAATTATAAGACATTCTTATGTGCAAGAAACACGAACCTGGAGTGGCCGTTCCGTGACAGCTTCTTCGCAGAACCTGCCTGCGTCTTGTGCTAAGGGAACGCCGTTGTAGCACAAGGTGGAAATGAGGGGATTTGGATGAGGAAAAGTCTTAGGTTGTGGTTTTACACTGTCCTGACTTAACATTGTCCAGGGGTAAATCCTGACTTAACATTATCCAGGGGTGCATGGGAACTGCAGCTTTAAGCAATATGACGTATTGTGTTATGAAATGAACTTTAGCATGGACAAATTGATACAAACAAGACTTCGGTTCCTAGGGCATAAAGTACTGTATTTAGCTTAAAGTCTTAGTTTCTAAGAACCTATCACCAATGTTGAGTCAACACTTGCTATGTTAGTTTCCTCTTGCTGCTGTCACAAATCACCACAAATGTAGGGACCTAGAACAAATTTATTGTCTTACAATTCCAGAGGTCAGATGTCCAAAATGAGCATCATTGAGCTAAAATCATGGCGTCAACTAGGCCTCTTCCTTCCGGAGCCCCAGGAGAGAGTTCATTCCTTGCTTTTTCAGCTTCTCAAGGCCACCCTCATTTTTGCCTTGTGGCCTTCTGTTTTCAAAGACATCACTCAGCCCTCTGCTTCCGTCATCACAGTCACATTTTTCTCTGGTTCTGACCCTCTTCCTCTTAGAATTCCCCTTTGATCACATTGGGCTCACCCAGATCATCCAAAATAATCCCCCTTTATCTCAAGATCCTTTACTTAATCACATCTGCTGAGTCCCTTTGGTCATGACAGGTTCTGGGGATTTGAGTGTGGACGTCTGTGGGAGCCATTATTGCACCCACCACATGTTAGACATTGCTCCATGCTTTCCCTGCAGCCTTGACTCCTTTCCCACCTCCTCCCTTCTCAAGCCCCCCCAGTTACACAAAACTTAAGACAAAGCAAATCTCACCAGTCCTGAAAACACTGGATTCGAGTTTAGCGAGATGAGGCTGAGCCCTGAGGAGTGGGAGGGTTTTTCTGGAGTTGGGTCGTGTAGAAAGAGAGCATGAAGATGTCGTGGGTCTCTTCTGTGCAGGAGCTGGGAGCTGTGTTGTTGTTGTTTGGTTGGTTTTTTGGAGGCAAGGTCTCACTCTGTTCCCAGGCTGGAGTGCAGTGATGCGATCTCGACTCACCGCAACCTCCGCTTCTGGAGCAGGGAACTGGGTCTGCTTCATGCTGTCCACCCTCATCCCCAGGCTGGAGAGACGATCTGCCCCTGCTAATCCCAGGGCTGACTCCTTACAGCGGTGGACCTTTCCCCTGTGAAGCCTCTGTCCACTGAGCAATGTGCTTTTCTCCCCTCAACATAACCCTGTTTGCACATAAACAAGCTTGGGAATAAAAGACACCATCTTAGTGGGCCTGGCCCAATAATGACCAGCGGGTACGAGTGCACCAGCTGGCTCTTAACCGGATTTATGGTCCTGCTCCCCGTGGTGGGGGTGGATCTGACCGCTCAGGTCATGAGCAATCTTGGGGCCACAGCTCCATTTCTAGCCTGTGCTACTTTTAACTTTTAATTAGTTTTTAATAAGCTGGTTGAACTATGATTGTCTTTTATACATACATATATATATACCGAATCTTGCTCTGTTGCCCAGGCTGGAGTGCAGTGGCACAATTTCAGTTCACAGCAACCTCTGTCTCCTGGGTTCAAGTGATTCTCCTGCCTCAGCCTCCTGAGTAGCTGGGACTACAGGTGCCCACCACCACACTTGGCTAATTTTTGTATTTTTAGTAAAGACAGGGTTTTGCCATGTTGGCCAGGCTGGTCTTAAACTCCTGATCTCAAGTGATCCACCTGCCTTGGCCTCCCAAAGTGCTGGGATTACAGGTGTGAGTAACAGGAGGGGCCATACCTGGCCCTGTGATTGTCTTTGATTCCTTTTTTCTTTTTCTCTGCATTTGGCTAAGACATACACACTTCCCTTAAATCCACCTTAGCTGCTGCTCAGGACAGATCTGAGTGATTCTTCCCATTCCCAAAGGAGGATTGAGTCAAGATGCAGAACCTTCGACACCCAACAGAGGCCATTGGTGAATTTATTTCAAGGCCCAGCTTATGCTAGTCCCACTGGGCCTAATAACTCAGGACACCTGCTTTAATATCCCAAGGGCAAAATCTCTGGAGTGTGTTGATTCTAAATTGACCCAGAAAAACTCGCCATGTCAGAATCTTTTCTTTGATTGGGTTACTTCAGGGATAACTCACTTGTCCACTTGGAATTATGGCACACCTCTAGACAAGACGTCTTCGGGTTGATAGAATTTCATTTCCTTCCTTCCTTCCTTCCTTCCTTGCTTCCTTCCTTGCTTCCTTCCTTCCTCCCTCCCTCCCTCCCTTTTCTTTCTTTCTTTCTTTCCTTCTTTCCTTCCTTCTTTCTTTCTTTCTTTCTTTCTTTCTTTCTTTCTTTCTTTCTTTCTTCCTTTCTTCCTTTCTTCCTTTCTTCCTTTCTTCCTTTCTTCCTTTCTTCCTTTCTTCCTCTCTTCTCTTCTCTTCTCTTCCTTTCTTCCTTCTCTTCTCTTCTCTTCTCTTTCGCAGGGTCTTGCTCTGTCACCCAGGCTAGAGTTCTGTGATGCAATTGTAGCTCACTGCAGCCTCAAACTCCTGGGTTCCAGTGACCCTCCTTGCTTCAGCCTCCCAAGTAGCTGGGACCACAGGCACATACCACCACGCCTGCCTAATATTTCAATTTTTTGCAGAGACAGGGTTTCACCATGTTGGCCAAGCTGGTCTCAAATTCCCGGGCTCAACAGATCCTCCCACCTCAGCCACCCAAAGTGCTGGCATTGCAGGCATAAGCCATCGCACCCGACCAGGGTTGGTTGAATTTTGCATGCCTTGTTACTCTTAAGCCTTAAACCCATTAAATAACTCACTGCAGAATCCACAGACCTAGACATTTTTTTTTTTAATTACAAGTTTTTTTTGTTTCTGTTTTTGTTTTTGTTTTGACGGAGTCTCGTTCTGTCACCCAGGCTGGAGTGCAGTGGCACGATCTCGGCTTACTGCAAGCTCCACCTCCCGGATT